TTCGCAATTTGCGAGTAGTCATATATTTGTCTGTCATATTTTATTAAGATTTGACTCTGGTGTCTTCCCGGAACATGTAATTGACGTAAATTTTAAATTTTTCGTGTGTATCAATTTATTCCCTATCATCTTGTTACCAACAGGGAGTTCAAAGGCGTTCGCCTATCTTTCCCTCAATAAACTGACTGACTGACACCACGAAGGCCCTTTCCGCCACATTGGGCGTCATCAGGTGGTGGTAGCCCAACTCCAGTGTAGCAGAGGCAATTGCCGCCACACCGGATTTTTACAACTCGCGTCTCTCCAGCCAGAGGCGAATGCTCTCACCCTTGAGCAACGGGTCCGCCGTGTTGTCGGTTTTTTATCGGGATTATATAGTAGTGGGTAACTGTACACCGATTTGTTTCAGGATGTACCCATCTTGGTTGATGCCTTGTTTGCGAGGTAATTAGAACCCTAATCGTATGTGTTCAAGGCGAAATAGTTATGTTACGCGCTAACTTTTAGTAACAATGCCTACCACCAACTGATGTCGCTCAATGAGGCAGAAACGGCCCGCGCTAACTTTTAGTAACAACTTTATTTTACCGGAAAACACAGAGCACACCACTAAGACCATTCCTGTCTCATTGGGCGTCATCAGATGGTGGTAGCCCAACTCCAGTGTGATCGCTGGGTCAAGAATTCTATTTGCCTGACGTTTCGATATCCGTCGTGTTTCCATCATTAGAGACAACAGCAGAAACCCACAAAGCAAAATATCCGTTAAGCTTTTGGAATCAACAAGTAGGGAAACTACCACTGCAAGAATGGTACAATACAACCTGTCTTCTTCGATGTCGAAGGACCTACGAAGAATATGAAAACACACTAGCGCATGTTGAAAAAGGGCAGTCACTATCCGAAATTCCAGGAATCGGCAACTTTCAGGTTCCCTTAGTGTTGCTGCCTGCTAGAAAAGAGGAATTCAGGCAGTCTGTTGAGTAAATGCCTATCAGATAGTCCTGCCCCAAAGGTAATCCAGACTCGGACTGGAGCGCGTGCGTCAAGCGACTTCAGGCGTACAAAGAACCCTAAAAATCTAGTAAGCTTCACCAAGCCGCGAGCATTTTGTCAACGGCTGGATACCCTACAGTCGGGGATGCCCACTTGTCGACTGTTCAAATAACTTCTAACGCTAAGCACGCCAAACCCGAGTCGAAATATTAAGCCAAACTGTCAGATAGAAGTGATTACGCGAGAGCATAATTGTTGGTAGGCACTGAGCGAATTTCTAAATCAAGACTCCCACACCGGCTTTCGAACCAGAGCTTGCCTCATTTCTTGTTTCTGTATCAAACACAAAAATATGTATCCCTACATAAGTTGTTTTCGTTCATTCTAGTTCTTTCGAAGACTCCTGACTTTGAAGTTCCCTAACTTATGGGGTGACTCGATTCTCCCTGTCAATACTGTGTGTGTATGTAGAGACTGACGGGAGGATTGAGAATTGGACTCAATGATTCCTTCTGACTGTGACATTTATGACAATCTCGCTGAAGTGAGATCGCAGCCGTTTTCGTGAAAGCCTTCTGTATATTGAGGGGGCCGGGTTGTTTGTGGAAGGTACGGACGGGCTGTCTATTCTTGTCATGCCAACACTGCCTTACTACAGAATCCAGGTGGGTGGGAGGAAGGAGGGTGCACTAGATCCTGCGCAAGCCTACCTTACTATAAACTAACGCAAATGCAAGTTATCACCGTGCGCCCACTCCTAGGGGAAACAAGTTAGACGTTGTCGGTTGCGACAGTCGAACTGCCTTCAGATTTCTAGACAAAGTCAGTTAATTCGCCCGGGCGGAAGTATCAAAAAATGCTTCGTGCGGTGATTTACAATGAACATTTCTGGTATTTTCAATTATAGGGGGAAATCCAACAATTCCGCACCTCGGAATAATACTTTAAACTGTCTACTTATGTTGTAAAAGTAGGAATGTTTAACTTTCGTTCGGTTCATTTCGGTCGCTTACTTTACGTTGCTGTGGATTGAATCATTACCCCCCATCATTACGCACATTTCGACTCGGAATTAGCGCTACCGCTACCAGGAAGACTATCAATCGAGGGCTAACATGACAGCCTGCAACCCCACCATCGCCAAGAAAGCCTCTAATCGGTTTTCTTTGTCGATTTCGATCAAAGATGGCTGTGGTGAGTCATACGATGATCTAGCCAACCCGCTATACAGTGCGTATTGACTCTTCAAGTAAATACTTTTTCTCTTCCAGGGCTCGCTCATTTATCTAATTTTAATACCCGTATCTTCCGCTTGGTTTACGAGAATCTCTGATATAGTTACCATGGGTGTAACTTATCAATAGTTATCTACGATACCTTCATTATTGAATCCTGAAGACTGTTTGATCTCAACCGTTCACATTTTTGCGGTTTGTTCCTCATATAACGTCTAAGCATCATGTGATCTTCCTGTTGAATAAACTATATATATTCTGCTCTAGGCCTTGTTTCGTTGAGACGCCCTCGGACATGCCCTTCATCGGAAACAATTGTCTTTCGACGCTACTTAGCGTGGATGTAATTTATAAATTGCAATTCCAATAGTTTCGTTATTGAGCAGTGAGGACTGTTTTGTCTCGGCCGTTTACATTCATGCTATTGAAGTTCACATCAATCTCCTGTAAAGTGGCATTTGTGACCTGTTTTTTTGCCAAATTATATATATGCTGTTCTTTTAGACGTAGGTTTAGGCTCTATACCTTCGAAATTCTATGTTGCATATAGCATTTGGCAGTTGCAATTGTCTTTCGATGTCAACTGCTATATATATGTTATCTCTTCTACAGCCCGCCTCTTTTTCCAGACGAAACAGATGTTTGTATGACCTCTTCGGTTTATGAGACGATTTGTTATAGTTTACGTGGACGTAACAGATCAATAGGTGTCTACAATATATTATTTACTGAACAGTGAGGACTGTTTGGTCTCGACTGTTTGCGTTTATATGGTTTCGACATATCTAAATCTCTTCTAAAGCGTGAACGTCACATCATCTACTGATTGATTAAACCATGTATATTCTGCTATAGCCTTTGTACCTTTGTACGTGAACTGGATAGGAGAAAATGGTCTTTCGATGTCAGTAGCCCGATCGCATATGTCAAAAGATGGTATAACTCACGTAAATGCGCTGTGGCGAGCCGGGAAGGGAGAGCGGACGTCCGTTGGCGCGGGTCCAACTGATGCGGAGTTGGGCGGAGCCCTGGGCTTTGCAGACCCAGGTGAGAGAGTCGCCCTCATCGACTATTTTTGAGGCTAAACCGGGCAGAATTAGGGGTGCCTGGGTGACAATCATCTCCCCGTA